GACTTCAACTCCCAGAATTCTGGGAGTTGAAGTCCACCAGGCTTAAAGCGGCCAAGGTTGGAGACCTCTGCTCTAATCCAATTCTCTGTTCAAGAAGATTATTTACCATTGCAGACAAAGGTTGTCCAATCTCTTCTTTCAAAACCTCCATTGTTGGAGCACCCACAACTTCTGCAGGCAAGCGGCTCTCCCTTCTCACACAGAAATTCCCTAATTGGGATCCCACCCGAAACAAGGAGTTTCTAGAGTTAGACGAGAAGAATGCAGAACTGGATTTCTGCTTTGTTGCTCAAGTTCACACCTGCCCCAGGGGGCCCTTCGGTCTGGGGCAAACTCCAAGGACACCGTATGTGACCAACATCGTTGCATGACTGATATCATTTCGTGGACGGAGGGCCGTGATGCATGTGGTGCCCGTTGGCAGACATCCGTGTGCAGAGGCATTAGGGGGTGGGGTCAAAAAAGTCACAATGGCAGCTGCATCTTCCTGTTGAAACAGACAGAGCCTCACCACACACTTCTGGCTCCTGTCTTGGCTCGTTTACACAGACACACAAACAGATTTACACACATACACACAATCGTGCTCTTGATTCCGTTGAGTTTGGGGAGAAAGTTTTGAGAGGAAATTGTGGCTGTGCCCCACGTGCTGTTCTGGGTCACCATGGAGGTCCTAACTCCCTGCTGGACATGTTTTTTTTCCTCTCTGGCCAAAAGGAAAGAGACGTAGGCGGCGCCATGGGCTGCTCCTTTGCAGAAACTGGGGAGACCATGCAGATACGTGGGGATGAGTCCCCCCATGTGCCACTGTGCCCAACAAATCATTCCAGCTGCTCTTCTCTGCACTCTTTCTAGAGCCTCAACGTCTTTTTTTATAGTGTGGTGATCAAAACTGGATGCGGTATTTTAGCAAGACCACCCACACCTGGAGTCCTGCATCCAGTTTTGGTTACCACACTATAAAAAAGATGTTGAGACTCTAGAAAGAGTGCAGAGAAGAGCAACCGGGATGATGAGGGGACTAGAAGCTCTAAAACATATGATGAACGGTTGCAGGAACTGGGCCTGGCTAGTCTAGGGAAGAGAAGGACCAGGGGAGACAGGAGAGCAGTCTTCCAGTATTTGAGGGGCTGCCCCAGAGAGGAGGAAGGGGTCAAGTTATTCTCCAAAGGCCAGACAAGGAACAATGGATGAAAACTGAACAAGGAGAGATTTAACCTGGAAATAAGGAGACATTTTCTGACAGTGAGAACAATCAACCACTGGAACAGAAGTTGCCTTCAGAAGTTGTGGGAGCTTCATCCCTGGAGGCTTTCAAGAAGAGACTGGACTGCCACCTGCCAGAAATGGTGTAGGGTCTCCTGCTTGGGTGGGGGGAGGTTGGACTAGATGACCTATAAGGTCCCTTCCAACTCTGTTCATCTGTTCAACTACTCTGCATGAACACGGCCAACCTCCATGGCCTGATCTCTTGGTGGGAGCCCAGGCTCCAGAGCCACCTTCTCTGATTAGGGGCTGAGTAACAGCCCAGTTTATTTGTTGCAAGTGACCACCGACCATCTGGCTGGTCTCTGAAGGAGCAAAGCTATTATTCCTTTTATTTATAAACAGGCTCTTTTGCCCACGAAGTTGCCAGATGAAATGACAAAGCAAACGTCCACCATGCTGAAGCCCTGCTGACCCACCTGGTCTTCGGGTGGAAAAGCCACGAGCAGCAGACACCCAACGCTTCAGCTCTAAGATGTAAACTTCCCATCCTTAATGACCTGCGTGGCTGGATCAGTACTAAACAGATTTGCTCGCCTTAATACAGTCCAGGAGACAGCTAGGGGAATTCCCTCCTGGCTCCCAGAAGCCAAGTTCATACGCCATGCAAAGGTGCAGCTTGTTTAATCAGAGGTTCTTGTGAAAGCTGCCATGGGCTAGTTGCTACTCGCACTAAGCTGCATATTTAGGTTTACATCTCACAGCGTATGGAGCCCCATAATCCTCTAAGCCAGGGGTGAAGAACCGTGATCCTTTTATGACTTGTGGACTTCAACTCCCAGAATTCCTGAGCCAGCAAACATCCATGGCTCCCCCATCCCTGCTCTAAGCCAACATCAACCAAGTCCCTCGTGTGTGACCGCAAATGACATGGGTGATCCTCATAGGTCTTGTGGGCTGATAACATGTTTGAACAGACTATTTGATGCTAGAATGATGGATGAAATCAGCGGCTATAAGGCCAGGATTTGCCTCTCATCTTCCCCTTGGTTCCCTTATGGCAATTGATAACCTAACAAAGGATGCCCAATTTCATTTCCCCGAGAACCTTCTCCTACAGCCGCACTCAAAAAAATCTGGAGAGGGTATCTCTCCTCCTTTTCTGCTTTTAAGTAGTAGAAATCCACCACCATCGTTGTTTTCTCTTCCAGGTTCTCAGTTTAGCTTGGAGGCCCTTAAGTTGCCTGAATATTAAAGGCAAGATGTCTTCACAATGGAGTAACAGGATCTTCTCCTCGTGTTTTGGAAACAACTGTCCCATCCTGGGATGCAGACATACCAGTTGGGGATTAGAGTCACTGAAAACTTCTAGAAAGATCTCAGTTGCTACGTCTCTCCCGGAGGGGTCAGAGTCTCGCAGACTCTGGGATCTACATGATGGCGAACCCCAGCCTAGCACCTCAGCTGCCCTCTGGGACAGCCAGTTCAAAGCATCTCTTGTTTCATACTGTATGTAACGACAACTTGATCACTTCTCCTTGCTGTGGAGCAATCGTCCAAGTCTTCTGGTGGGAACACCTGCTCATCAGGCAGATCACAGCTTGGGTGAACCCAATTAAATCAGGCTTTGATCAAATCAGAAATGGGGCAACCAGCGTTGAGCAACAGCTGTTGAGCAAAGTGCTGACTGGCACGGTTCGTAGCCCTCCTCCCCTCCCCTTGCCCCTCCAAAGTGGGGCCAAGCAGCCTCACCCAACTGGAAAACTATCGATGATCGACCTGAGATGACTGTTGCAACATCTCACACAACACCCACACCGATTTTGCTAGTGGTGGAACCAGTCCAGAAAGTTAACTTTTCCAACAGGAGTTTCTACTCCCTAGTTGTAGGTGCTTTACATTCACTAGGCCTATCTGTTTCTATTTATGGACAGCCTAACCGACCAAGATCAGCCTTCCCAACTGGTGTCTTCTACACAGTTATTAAACATGGACAATCTGGGGCCTTTAGTCCCAGTGCCTCTGGAGGCATCATGAATATAGATCTTCCAGGTCCTTTCCTGGCCAAGCTAACGCCATGAAATCTTGAGGAGAAACTGTGCAGGAGAAAGCTAGACTTTCTCTCCAATGTCAAGAACTCTCATTGCCTTCAACGTCAACATCCACAGAACCTACTAGTGAAAAGTTGGCCGAACAGTCCATTTTACTGACACCACCAGTTCAAGAAAAAGGCCCAGATTAGGAAGAAGTGACACCAAACCATCTCTAAGAGGATATTATCTCCAAGTGCCGAGGAATTTGGACAAGCCCAACCCCAAAGGGCACTTACCAGTGTGGGTCTGCCTGTGACTTTCCAGGGCATCTTCTTTAGAGAATTGTGCACCACAATGATCACAGAGAAAGACTTTGGCACCTGCTGTAAGGAAAGAAAAAGAAAGAGAGAGGGGAGGAAATTACGCTGATATCAAGAAGCTCCAACGAATCATTACAGTGGTTACTAAACTGACTCTGAGACACTAAATTGTGCTCAGCACGACAACCACAAATGGAGGGATCCCCAAATAGAATTGACCGTATCCAGGGCAAAGATTAGTTTTTAACTGAACACTGGAATGAATCCACGATCTTCACTCAAATATACATGCTGCCTCTTTCAAGGCATATCACGCTCTTATCCCATCAACATTTGGGGACATTATTCACACAAACACCACAACTATCAAATATACAGTCCAGAGAAAACTATATGTAGAATTGATAAGAGATCTGAATGGTTCTTATTTTTGCACTTTTTCATTTCCGTGGGTTATGGAGATTTGCAAGATGGGTTGTTGTTGTTTTTTAGCTATCCCAATATTAAACCAACATTTTTTAAAAAATTATTCAGTGGTTGGGGCTGTGGTTAGAGCAAGCACTACATTGCCATCACCAAGCTAACACCGAATTAGACCAACAAGCTCTGATTTATATGTTTTTGTGGCATTTTATTGGGGTTTGGGGATAAATGAAAATCTAAAGATACAAGCCATATACTGAACATTGATGATAGATAGATAGATAGATGATAGATAGATAGATAGATAGATAGATAGATAGATAGATAGATAGATAGACAGACAGACAGACAGATGATAGATAGATACGGATGGATGTATAGAAAGATAGGAAGATAGGAAGTTGTCAGAGAGATAGATAGATAGAGACAAAAAGAGAGAAATAGACTACCTAGATATGACAGATGTTAGGAGTGAATTAGATGGTTTTATTCTCATCCAGAGGTCTCTAAACTTGGCAACTTTAAGATTTATGGACTTCAACTCCCAGAATTCTTCAGCCAGCATCTCTCTCTCTCTCTCTCTCTCTTTTTTTCACATTATAAACAAAACTCCACTTAACTGTTCATATATTCAAGTTAATTTTTTTTTCTTTTACCAAAGTGCTAAAGGTTTCACTAAATTTTCAACTCTCTGGACTTACAAGGACATAGAGCAGGAGTCCCCAAGCTTGGCAACTTTAAGACTTGTGGACTTCAACTCCCAGAATTCTCCAGCCAGCTATGCTGAATTCTGGGAGTTGAAGTCCACACGTCTTAAAGTTGCCAAGTTTGGAGACCCCTGTAAATCTCAGCAGATCTCAGACTGAACAACTGCTAGCAGGAACGAAGTTCTGGTGGTCTTCCCTGAAACAGCCTCTCCTACATTTTGACAGATCCATGATCCAATTGCATGATCGTTCCAAGGAAGGCTGGGCCACCCTGGCATGGAGAGCCACTTGGAACACCTGGAGAAGTTCTACAATGAAGAAAAGGAACAGAGATGTTCTCCAGCTGCCTTGTACATCTCCCAAATGCATTTGGTCCCTCCTTCTCGTCTCTCCCAGAACTTTTACTTCAAAGAAATGAAATAGGGGAAAGATACAGGATTGGAACTCTGCTCTCCACCACGGGCAGATAGGCAGAGGCCAGGGGTAAAAAGGAAACTAACAGGCCGCGCCAGGGGAAAGCGTGGAGGGCTCCAAGTGGCGTGGCTAGCCTGCCAGTCTGCTCTGTGAGAGAGGTATAGAGCCGCCATCCTGGCCTGATGGGTACCTTAAATATTCCAGGCATGGGGTCCCCAAAATGTCCCCCTTTTGTGGAATTCCTGGCACAGGCGCTGGAGAGAGCTGGCTGAGCTAGACGGATGGGATCCAGCCAAGCAGATATGGGATTATCTGGGCAGTGTGAATTTCAATGTGGACACAAAGTGTTTCTCTTTTGCAAAACAAAAACCAAAAAAACCCCCCAAAAGAGGTGATGAAAAACAAACCCAGCGTTTCCAGGGTTCGACCTCCTGATTATGTCAGAGTGGCAAGCAGCCTTGTTTTTCCGTGCCTTCCAACGCTCCCCTAATGATCACAACATCCCGTCAGCGCACAAAAGGCTCGAGTCAACGGCAACGACACTATCAGATAAGAACAACACACCCGACTGAAAGATAATTTCCACGACTATTGTGAAGGTGTGGCATTTGTGGGATTTCTTAGAAAATGCACCGCAAGGCAGAAGGCAACTGTGGGTTGGCAGGGCCCCCATTGTAACAAGGGAAGCGAGCACAGAGGGGGCCTCTGCACGGCCCGTAAGCCCCTTGCGGAGAAAAATGAAGCCCCTTAGAGAGACCAGAGTGGTGAACTCCAGGGTTAGGACCTGGAAGTTTGGATTCACCGCTTCCAAGGAGATGCTGAGGCCCAAGCCTGAGGGACAGCCTGGTCTGAAGAAAAGAAAGAAAGAAAGAAAGAAAGAAAGAAAGAAAGAAAGAAAGAAAGAAAGGAAGGAAGGAAGGAAGGAAGGAAGGAAGGAAGGAAGAAAGAAAGAAAGAAAAGAAAAAAAGAAAGAAAGAAAGAAAGAAAGAAAGAAAGAAAGAAAGAAAGAAAGAAAGAAAGAAAGAAAGAAAGAAAAGAAAAGAGAAAGAAAGAAAGAAAGAAAAGAAAAGAAAAGAAAGAAAGAGAGAGGATGAAGAGAAGTGAAGAAAAATAAAAATAAAAAAAAAGAAAGAGAAAAAGAGAGAAGGAAAGAAAGAGAAAGAAAGAAAAGAAAAAGAGAGAAAGAGAGAAAGGAAGGAAGGAAGGAAGGAGAAAAGAAAAAGAAAGGAAGGAAGGAAGAGGGAGGACGAAGAAAAGAGAAGAAAAAAGAAAAAGAAAAAGAGAGAAAGAAAGAGAGAAAGAAAGAAAGGAAGGAAGGAAGGAAGGAAGGAAGGAAGGAAGGAAGGAAGAAGAAAAAGAGAAAGAAAGAAAGAAAGAAAGAGAAAGAAAGGAAGGAAGGAAGGAAGGAAGGAAGGAAGGAAGGAAGAAGAAAAAGAGAAAGAAAGAAAGAAAGAGAAAGAAAGGAAGGAAGGAAGAAGAAAAAGAGGAAGAAGAAGAAAAGAAAAGAAAAGAAAAGAAAAAAGGAAAAGAGAACGTGGGGGTGATTTTGTCTTTAAGGAAGGGTCGGCTCAGTTGGAGAAAGAGGGGAGCCTCCTACCACTCTGGGGGCCCCTTTTCTTTCCCCACAGAACAGCCCCCCCCCCCCACCGCGGCTCTCCCCCCAGAAAACCGCAGCCCCCTTGGGCTAGAGCCGCCCCCAGCATCAGCCACACCATCCAGGTGTCCTCAGTCCCACCTGGCCAGCCGTGCCACAGGTTGGCCAAGGCTGCTCCAGCAGGCACGGTTCCCCCCAGGCCTCCCGCCAGGCGCTGAGGAGCAGGGTGCCACGGCCAGCGTAGAGTGGACGGGGATGAGCTCGTGGCATGGCTGGGGTCACCCTGGAGAAGTTGGGGGGCTGTTTTGGGGCAGGGCGGGGGGGGGGCTGACCCCTGGCAGAAGGGAAGCGCGCAGGGCCTGAGGGGGCTGCCTTCTCCTTGGCCCTCCACGCCTCCGTCTTCCCACCCCTCCCGGAGACCCTCCCGGCCCCACGGCAGAGTGGACCCCCAGAAGGGAGGAAAATAAAACAGATGCCCCCTCCCCGCCGGAGAATAATCCCCCCGCCTTTAAATTGCCTCAGTAACGGCTGGCTCAGAGGCAGAAAAATTTGGCAGCAGTGAAATTAAAAGTGATAAATTTTCTCGCCAAGCTTTGATCGATAATAAAGGCCTCATCTGTTAATCAATAAGACAGTCTGCCTGTTTACTGTGCATAAGCCGTTCCCGGCTGCTTTTGGGGGGGGGGAGGAAACAAGGGGGGGGGGGG